TGTCAAAGAAATATGGTGTGACAATGGTACTAACTTTATCAGTGCAGCTAAAGAACTGCAACAAGCAGGAGCAGAAATGAGCCAGGAACGTAATCAGTCTTTACCTTCTGAAAGGTAATATTGACTAGAAATTCAACCCTAGATCAGCAAGCCATACCGTTGGCGTTTGGGAACGTCTGACCAGGTTCGTTTTCCTCTTCTCAGCGAGTTTGGTGAACGTTTGAATGATGAGTCGTATCGAACAATATTGTACGAAGTTGAAGCCATTGCAAACTCCCGACACTTCACAACTGTATCTGACAGTACTGACGATCTCAATCCTTAAACGCCTAATCATCTACTGATGATGAAGTCAAATGTGTCTATATTACCTCCAGGCAATCCCAATACCTGACATTTTAGGATCACGAAGCCCTGGCCACAATGTCTGACCTTAATGATTGTGTGTCAACTTGTCCAAACAGCGTTGTTCACGTTGGTAAACGTTGATATTGCTAACGGCAGCATAAACGTCTCTTCATTCATTTACAGCCATCCATTCATTTAAACATTCATTCCGTCTTTCGGAATGCATATACGTTGAACACCTCCCCCCCCTACACCCAAATAGCGATGCTTTGCCTGCCTGGATGTGCTAGCGAGCAGTGTTGGGAACACAATGTAATGCTAAACAAAGGGAGTGGATTGCCCTAGGCCGTCACACTTTACATTGATATAGATCACGTTTCAACACAACTCGAAGCCAGTTACTCTGCACACAGAACAAATGGACTGGGCATTAACAATATTCAATACATAGAGCCTTAGGCAGCTTCACATCGCGTTGTGTTATGTACATCAATTGTCCTCAATTCATCCATATAGTTCCTACACCTTGACATATCCCTTTCACTATCTGTGTGTTCACATGTGTCAACACACAATCATATAACTGATGATATGCAGATAAATGTTGCTAGGAGGTCCTGTGTGCGGTATCACAAAGTGCGTTCAAATGACAAGACGTTCGATGCATCCCATAGAATTGTTTAAATATTCCCAATTATGTTCAGGGTATAGTACATGGACATTGAAGTGTGGGTGTTTGTTTAATGCCAATGCCATGGCGTAGGAGCTGGGTGGTAATGCACGTCATATTATTACCGACTGTGTGGTTTACTCATAAACATCTCAACTGTGAGTGAGTGAGTGAGTACGGCTTTACGCCGCTTTTAGCAATATTCCAGCAATATTACGGCGGGGGACACCAGAAATTGGCTTCATACATTGTACCCGTGTCGGGAATCGAACCCGGGTCTTCGGCGTGACCACTAGGCTACCCGACCGCCCCCTTATCACGTGTGATAACATCATTGACACGGCGGTATTTATCAGTGTGTGAGTACGGTTTTACGCCGCTTTTAGCAATATTCCAGCAATATTACGGCGGGGACACCAGAAATGGGCTTCATACATTGTACCCGTGTTGGGAATCGAACCCGGGTCTTCGGCGTGACCACTAGGCTACCCGACCGCCCCCTTATCACGTGTGATAACATCATTGACAAAGCGGTATTTATCAGTGTGTGAGTACGGTTTTACGCTACTTTTAGCAATATTCCAGCAATATTACGGCGGGGACACCAGAAATGATTTTCATACATTGTACCCATGTCGGGAATCGAGCCCTGGTCTTCGGCGTGACGAGCGAACGCTTGAACCGACAGGCTACCCGACCGCCCCTTTTCGATACATATACATGCACATTTGTACAAGACAACAAACACCATGCAAGTTCACAATAAAGCAAGGGTTCGTGTCAAAAACAGTATTTACAGGCAACATTATATATGGCAGGAGTAGTTCACAAAACTTGTGTTTATTTATCAAATATTGAAGACTCTTGTTATTATATTTCATTTAGATAATTAAGACTGTTTTTATTCTGTAAATGATGTTCATTTGAGAGCCTAGATGTTAGTCTAGTCAGGTGTCACGGAGCTGTGCTCCAATGATCAGGGGTGTCATAAAAAAAGAATAAACTTGGTCATAGGTTCACAGGTTTATTAATGACGGCTAATTGTACAAATAATTGACAATTAAAGAAAAGGTAAAGCCTATCTGCGCTGACAGAGATCACAATTTAATTCCATCAGCGCAAATATACAACCAGTTTAGCTACACAACAGTATTACAGCGATAAAAAGGAGAGTAGCTAAAACAACACTTTGACAAGATACGGACCGCGCTAAGATGATCGTAACTCAAATACTTTAACATAGGCTTACAATAGTCGTAGCGCTAAGATCGCTTTGTGCAGGTGGGCCCTGATGTGTTGACTGCCAATTAAGTCGGCTGCGACCAATTAACACGTGAGTCAATTTACTCCACACTCTAGTGACACTCTATAATGACTACTACTACTACTACTACTACTACTACTACAACTACTACTACTACTACTACTACTACTACTACTACTACTACTACTACTACTACTACTACTACTACTACTACTACTACTGTCACTGCACCGACTGTTACTACTACTACTACTACCACCACCACCACAACCACCACAACCACCACAACCACCACTACCACTACTACTACTACCACCACCACTTCTATTACTACTACTACTACTATCACCACCACCACCACTACTACTTTCACTGCACAAACTGTTACTACTACTGCCACTACTACTACTACCACTACTACTAGTGCTACTACTACTACTGCAACAACTACTACTACTACTACTACTACTACTACCACCACCACTTCTACTACTACCACTACTGTCACTGCCCCGACTGTTACTACTACTACTACTACTACTACTACTACTACTACTACTACTACTACCACCACCACCTCTACTACTACTACTACTACTGCTTTCACTGCACCGACTGTTACTTATACTACTACTGCCACCACCATCACTACTACTGTGACTGCACCAACTGTTACTACTACTACTACCAGTACTACTACTACTACTACTTCTACTATCATCACCTACACTTCTACTACTACTACTACTACTACTACTACTACTACTACTACTGTCACTTCACCGACTGTTACTTCTTCTACTACCAGTATTACTACTGTCACTGCACCGACTGCTGCTACTACTACTACTACTACTACTACTACTACTACTACTACTACTACTACTACTACTACAAATGCTACTAGTTAATGTCTAGAGCTACGACTACCACTGCTACAACTAACAATACCACGACTGTATATAGACAGTCAACTTGTCAGGTCAGTAGTCTTACGCAATGTCATGCACAGGACGATGAAGGACAGCCAGTATTCGTTATATTCAGGTTGCTTCTGTATTAAAATAAGCCCTTGCGAAATAAAGTAGTCAGATTGCACTTTTATCCGCCACATTTGAAAGCGTGACAATTCACAAGCACACTGATATACTCTACTTTGTCAACACACATAATCATGGTGACACGACCTGACTGAAACGAAACCTTACTCTGACTCTGATGTCTTCAATTACACTTCAACAGCCCCTCAATGAATTGCAGTAAGAACGCACATCGACATTCCTGAACACTGTGAGCATACATAAAGACATGTGTATTGGCACTGAAACTAATTCAAAGGGTCGCTCCAATGACGGACTATCTAAATACACAAACCCACTTGAATGTGTAGTTTATATGAATATTGTAATACAAATAAACTGTTAATGTATATCAATGTATTCGCTCATGTAGGCCATGTAATACACATCTAATTTGGTTGAACCCTGAAATATTTACCCTTTGCTTTGAGACAACCCCCTCTCAATCCGGATTAAGCAAGACACCTGCAAGACTGATTTCGATAGAAGTGGCACGACATCCCGCTTTAACCACTAGGCTACCCGACCGCCCCTAAAAACCACAAGTACAGAAGTACATTTATTTTCAAAGTCCTGATTGATTCTCTTCATTCAGCAATTTCTGACCGGTTGAACGGACGACAGTCGATTCTATATGTATTTGTATTTAGATTTACCAAGGCCTTAAACATTAAATTTTATATGAAACAACCTGTAACCAAAAAACGTCACCAAAGCATTACTTGGCTGTGAACAGTCGCCCAAACACTGCATACTTTAAGAGGAAGTAAATTAACATAGCACAGATTTTCAAGCAGATATTACAAATTTCATTTCAGATAGATCCGAGATACATGTAGATCTTTCAGAACTAATTTATACACTTAATTTAAAGCGACAAAACTCTTTCCATATTCATAATAAATCTCTGCCAAACACATCGTTCATTTACGATTCCTTCTATATCATGAACATGTGTTCATGAATCACTATCAAATAGAGATTATACCAGGTGTTCGCGAAAAGGTGAGCGCATGTACCTGTCACACATTGCCATTACACATTTATGAGAGTCGGGAAACATCAAAGAATATACATAGCAATGATTCAATAATTGTTACTGATTATTCAAGGGGTGGGCAATCAATGGTTGATGCTGTTGCTTCAGCTAATTAAATAAAAAATTATATTTTCTCAGAAAATACACATCTCAACATCGAACTTTGCACTGCATCTCTCCCATTAGAGTAGAAAGTGTTTCTTAAATTTGAAAAGAAGCCACGTAGTAGTTTCAACATGTATGTATATCTCTATCTCCACCCCTTAGCCACACGGGTTTGTAAGGGCGTGGCTTTTCTATATCTAACAAAAACAAAACATAAATCCAAAAGAGTGGTCTTGTGGTACACATTGCGCTAACAAAAACAACGACAGTTCGCACGTCTAATATGCAGATAACAATAGTAATTTCATACGCTTCCCGAAGCCTGACACACTTACAACACAGCACTCATCAACCACATAGCAACCACCCCTAGCAGAAACTTAATGACGTAAACCCAGGGCCCAGTTGAATGTCGAGATGAGTCCATACATATTTATCTAGAGGATTAAAGCGGAGCTTAAAACAGCTTATTGTACATCAGTGTGATCACCTGAAGGTAACTCTAGATCTATTTGTGTGAGGTGTGTTGCTGGTTGGAGTATATGGGGTGGTGGGTGTAGTTCATACAGGATTCTATTTCGCTGTCGGATACCTAACTGGATTCTGGTTGTCCAAGGTACGTCTTCATTTTGATGCCAACAAAGCCATCCCTTGTTTTGTCATTCCTGTTACTGCACGTAAGAAAACAATACTATATCAGTGAAGCGTAAAACTTGTCATTTGGTTTATAATGTCCGTTCTAAATTTTCATGTCACTTTGTAACACAATAATAGGCCAGGGCATGACTTTTCAAGGACAGAGCTAAGTTCGGGTACAGTCTGGTGCTTGAAGAAACAATCTCTTCAAAAGCACAGTGATGTTGAATGAAGCTGCCACAATCAACCAGATTTGATCGCTTCGGTGTTGAACACAGGGTCACAATGACCTCGCTGGCCTGTCGGTGTTTGCTTTCTTGTATCTTACCTTATTAGGTCATCGTGTTTTAAATGTGTTTGGATCATATCATATGGATATCGATTAGAGACGGATAAATAATTTTGTAAATCAGGACACAAAGTTGGATATATTTTAGATTTCTTTTATTCCTCTGACGGATGATACTTATAAGTTCGACTATTTTTCAAACGTAATTTGTAATTATATTTTTGCGGGGAGGAAAAGATGGCGGTCATGGCAGATTTATGCGTAATTTTCAGAGGGAAAGTGTGTGTGTGTGTGTGTGTGTGTGTGTGTGTGTGTGTGTGTGTGTGTGTGTGTGTGCGTGCGTGCGTGCGTGCGCGTGCGTGCGTTTGTGTGTCCGTTTTTGGATCGACCCTGGAATAAAAATCGTGGAGAATGTAATAGTGTCGTGGCTATTGACGGAAGAAAGGGGAGAGGTCAGACTTCATATTATTTTGTTTGATACTCCCAGATCTGCACATGTTGATTGGAATGATAAAGGCGGAAACGTGTCTTAACAGTGGTTGCAATATATTTCACCAGTGACAATTTTTGACAAGTATCGTGATTGATTTAGATAGCACATGGGTCAGTGAAGTGAGGTTGACGATACAAACAGTAAGCAATAAGTAACTGTGCAAAGAAATCATGTTTAACTTACGGGCAATCAAATGAAGACTGAGAAATGTTGTTCAATGCCGAAGAAAGCAGTATTGCAGCTATGTAACGGCGGACTGAAAATACACGAATCCGGTCCAGGCAAACGTCATGTTTTGATATAATGCTCTTTGAGCATGATATCTAGCATGGAAAAAAGCAATACAAAGGGATTATTATCATTATCGAAAGAACTATTGTGATATCCATTCATAAAAACCAAACAATTAAAACGTCCAACATGAAAACAAAACAAAACACTTGTGTGTGGCAGAATATCGGCGCAGTTTATTCAGTATTGGTGGCGGTACCCTGGGAGAGATACCTTTCACAAATAATATCCTATCGCCATTATAAAACACCCGAACATCTCAAACCCCAGGATAGATAACCCACGAGGGTAACCACAGATGAGCAACTCCCCTCCCTGCCCCCGTCGACAAGCCGTCGAATAACACTCGGCAAGCCTCCCTGCTAAATCAAGCAAAAACCCGACGGGCCGTCGGAACATCGGCCGCTGGACCAACCCCAAACCATAGCCATACCAAACCAAACCAATTTACCTGCTCCATTTGTCAATGTCTCATGCTTTGTAGGGGATGTCAACTGCTGGTAGTGCTGAAAGATAAATGATGAGAAAAACAACATACATGTTAAAATATGGTCTTAAACATACATGACATTAAATTGAGCAAAATGTAATAATGAATTGCTTCTAAAATATGCATTTACAGCACAATAGCATACATTGGGAGGGAGGGTGGGAGAATGCTACCTACGTGTAGACCACTTTAAAAGTTCAACAGGAAAGGACAATTCGTGTGGATGACCTGAATAACCTATCCAAAAGTTGTCGAGTTATCACCCTGTACGTTGCTTTCAATTGCCAGTAATGAATTTTATCTCAAATGCTTTCAATAAAACACCTTATCACAAGAACTATTGTTCTGCGCGGCAACATTTCCGACAGGATAATGCTAGGTTTTGGCAGGATCTTATGTAGTTCATCCATGTCTGCATCCATGAGATTACACATCTCTTTACCCTCTATAAGGCCTATAAGGTCATTTGAGCCAATATGTACTAGAATAGTACAGTGCATATATTTCATTGTACTTTTTATATTTTTCACAAATTAAACTTAAACTAGGAAATTATAAAATTCGAAAGTCGCTAGACCAGTATTTCTCGTTCTTATCGCCACTGGTCGACCATGACGGCTGCTCCTTGGCAAGCTCATTCACGCGAACAGTAAATTACGTAATCAAAGATAAAGTCGGCAGGTACGGGCAGATAACAGAGACCGAAATTACAACTTCGAGGTAATGATTAATGTGATACGAGTAGAGCTGTGGGGGTAAAGAGGGGCTAAAACAAGGACTGGTCGGCTCGGAGTCAGTATACTGTGTCTAAGTGGGGTATTCATGTTAAACTGCGGCATGGTATCTCAGTGAGCTAGCACTATAAATCGGCATCAGTTCGGACTAGTACAAGCAGCCACACACGCACAGACGTGCATGCACGTCGCTATATAAGCGCAATAATCTTGGACATTATCATTATTATCATTGTACGTCACTATTATATATTAATTGATGTCATTTGAATGGTATGACACACTTACTTGAATAAACCCTCAAGCGTCTTAAAGGGAAAAAATCCATGAAGTGGTTTTCAAGTTATAGGTCAAAAACATTCCAAGTAAATATATTAGAAATAGCTGCATTTTGTCAGACAATCCAAATATTGAAATCAAAATTCGCATTGCACCTCCCCTATTGGTATAGACAGTGTTCACAAAGTTCTATGCAGTAGTTTTCAAGTTGTAGGTCGCACAAAAAATGTCCCAAGAAGGCCGGCCGGCCGGACGGACGGACGGAATTCCTTTCTATAACCACGTGTATATACCCCGCCCTTTTCTAGAAAGACTTGTATGTCCGAAGTTTGCTTCTGCCTGACCCGCGCACTCCAGTTTCCGCCTGGACGTTAGTTTCCCATATGGTTATATACTTATTAAAAGCAGCGTTTTGCACAGTCTTAACTAAAAGCCGTTTTTCCACAGGAATAGCTGAACTTGTGATATACGGTATAATATTCTGTAGATAAGCTCTGATTCTAAAGTTCAAGTTCTTTCTTGTAGATTTATCCGCCAAAATAAATATTGGTTTGTTAATTCTCCTCTCAGTGGTGTTCATTCGTGCCCAATGCACAGCAACGCTTAACCACTGACGGACCTTTGCTGACGTATTGACAGACATTTGAAGTAATTTGATGTTTTAAAGACGAGTTTAGCCTAACTGGAACATATCTTCTCTATTTCAAACTTATACATTCTATTCCACATTATTGGATAAATCGTCATAATACATTGGTACAGTAAAAACGGAAGAACAAAGAAAATATAATTTGTAAGTTACTTTCTGATCTTGTGAAGTCCCTAAATACAGGGAATGGGAACTTAAATTAAACACCACGCTAATACACAATTATCTCCAAAAATGCTTCGACATAATTCATAAATTTTCTGAAGATAGTTATGCATAAAATCTTCCTTATATAATTTTACACCGAACTGTAGCAATTGTGGTAATGTTTATATTAAATTGGAAAAAAGAGAAAACGATCACTGTTGTTTATGCAGTGATGAATACAAATCTCTTGAAAATCCATTTTCTAGATGCTTTAAAAGTTATCAAATCATAGTTTCTTCACAAGTATGATGTGAAGAAATTACTGACGCGCATGTAGAAACATATCAAACGTCATTTATACTCTTTCTATTGCGTTTAACTTGTTGTCTCCAAATATTAATGACGTTTGATATATTTCTACATGCACGTCAGTAATGTCTTGACATCATTTATATATGTGTGTGTAAATTAATAACTATAACTCAGAGGTCAGAAATCTTATACAATAGATGCAACACTTCAACACCATAGAACAAATCATATATTGTGAAGACCACGGGTCTTAAATGGACAAATGCTCAACATTGAAGTAACCGCATCATTGATTACTTTGGTTATATCAATCAGATATAGTTTTAACTTTTCTACAAGTCTGTATATCTCAATCTCTACCCCTCAGCCACACGGATTTGTAAGGGCGTGGCTTTTCTTCATGTAAAAAACCCCTCAAAATAAACCTAACAGAGTGCGCTAACAAAAAACAAAGACAGTTCGCACGTCTTACATGCAGAAAGCAAAAGTAATTTAATACGCTTCCCCAATCCAATGATAAATATGAAATGTCCAGAATACTCTTATGATAAATATGAAATGTCATGTCTCCATTAATTCATTTCTAACTCATAATTCTCTGTCACGAACTTTATATACCTAATGCAACCACACCATTGCAGTTATCAACAGTTTGATTTGTTACAATTTTGTTACCATTTTCTAAGTTTTTAGACGCATTTTAACCTCATAATAGTAGTAGCAGTGGGTTTTCCCATTTGGTTTGGAAATCGATATTCGAAGTGGTTTAAGATTGGCTTACGCCCTGAAACTGTGTTGTAAAATATAACCAGCTCTCTCAATACCCCGTACTCAGTTGACTGTGTGGAGTTTTACGTGTGCAGAATAAACACTTCGCCTACTGCTGCACACTACAACACATGCTGATTGTTAAAAACGTCAAAGATAGCGAGTTCGCCTCTGTAGAACCGGGTGCACAACGTAACATTTCTAGGACTTATTTTTTCACGATATAAGCATCAGCATTAGACTATTGATTGGACACAGTTAGTCATTACAATGTGCATGATTGAGTTATTTAAAAAACAATCAAACGTAGTATTCTAACTTTCAAACATTATTTTGTCTTATTTTGTCGGCAATGTTCCAAACACATGTGGGGAGGTGGGGTAACCTATAGGTAAAAGCGTTTCGCTCGTCACGCTGAAGACCCGGGGTCGATTCCCTTCATGGGCACAATGTGGGAAGCCTATTTCTGGTGTACCCCGCCGCGATATTGCTGGAATATTGCTCACGATGGCGTAAAACCATGCTCACTCACTCGATTTGGGGTCCTTTCCCAACCCGAGACCCGTGATGATCCAGGGTAGAATAGGTATTCAGCAACCCATGCTTGCTGTAAAAGGCGACCGTGCTTGTCGTAAGAGGCGACTGACGGGATCGGGGGGTCTGGCTCGCTGACTTGGTTGATACATGTCATCGATCCCAATTACGTGGATCGATGCTCATGATATTAGTCAGTGGATTGTCTGGTCCAGACTCGTTTATTTACAGACCGCAGTCATATAGCTTGAATATTGCCGAGTGCGGCGTTAAACAACAAACCAACCAACAAAGCCGGAATTCACGTGGGCAAATACATGTAGAAGTTTCATGCACACACAACACCACGGAATATTGAATCTTAGTTCATCAGTGTTCAGGACACAATGTATGTCCATAAAAGTAATAAAGCATGCCATAATAATAATTCTTTACAACGTTTTTTTCCAGCTCCGGACATAATGAATTCCAACTACCAAAGATGTTTGTTTATATGTCTGTCAATGACAACTCTCGCTGCTGTAGCTTTCTATTGGACAGTTAATCCAGATGTGGGTGTGTTCCAAATCACAACTTTCAATTCAACAAAAGTTAACACGTCCATAAGAGAAACATTCATCCTCGAGGTCTCTCAAAAGCATCCCCTCGTACTTCGTAGACGAAATGTGGTCATCACTTCAGCAGATTCTCCTCATGCAACTAAACGCATTGTGTGGATGAACGTCCCACCCTGGTACAAGACAGTTACATCTTTCGCCCACTGTTACGTTCGTTCGTGTGAAATAAGTACAGACGAGGCACATATTTCATCAGCTGATGCTGTGGTTGTCAATGGTGTTAATTTGCCATCATCAAAACACCCAAACACGGACATGAACCAGGTGTGGATTATGTATGGATGGGAAGCACCTCCCCACTATTCAACTAACACGATTTTCCGTCCTGACTGGAATGGACGTTTTAACTGGACATTGACATACCGACTGGATTCGGATATACCATTTCCTTACAATAGGATAGTGTACACTGGAGGCAGTGTGAATATAAGTGATGTTGTGAGACGGAAAAGCCGATCTATTGCTTGGTTTGTAAGCAACTGTCGTACACCCTCAAAGAGGGAAGTGTATGTTCGAGAACTGCGGAAACATATTGATGTCGACATTTATGGCGCCTGCAGAAATACCAAGAGTTATGACTGTCCAAAAGGAAGGTCCTTCGAGTGTCTTGGTCTGTTAAACACCACGTATAGATTTTATCTTTCGTTTGAAAATTCCCTATGTAAAGACTACATCACAGAGAAGTTCTACAACACGTTCATGACTTCAGCTATTCCCATCGTTCGTGGAGGCGCTGACTATGCACGTCTTCTGCCAGAAGGAACCTTCATCAACACAGCATCATTTGACAGTCCAAAGAGTTTGGCGAACTATATCCGATATTTGGAGAGGAATGAGACAGCTATGGGGGCAATTTTAGAAAAGAAGCACAAGTATGAATACATTAATTCAAGAACAAATTTTGATTGGAGGTGTCAGCTGTGTGCCAAGTTACATGGAAATTTTACGAGAAAATCTCACACAGATATGAAACAATGGCTTAAGGACGGAAAGTGCATAGAACAGCCAAAAGATCTGCCGTAGTGCTTGGGAATGTAAAAACGTGTCATAATCATTGAAGATCAATACAAGATTTGCACACGAGGCAGTTGTAATCCCTAGTTGATTCTTGTATTACACTTGTTAAAGAACTAACTCTATGTTTGCTCTCTGTGTGTGCTCTTCAATACACGTGTTCAAGATCCAGATGTTGCATGTGTCAACAAAGGTGTTTGTGCTGATTGTGATGCTGATGGTCACGCTGGAGGCTTGTGTTGATACAAATGCCAATATAAATATTGATGTTTATGACTGTACGAACCGAACACTTTAATTCTAATGTTTCAAATGATTAAAAATGTATGTTAATAATAATATAAAACACTTTGGTGCATTCTTTACATGTCTTGTGAGCAGAGGCGTCCATATTGGGACAGCAAATTCTCTGGATACAGACTCGTTCCTTCATGCTTCAATGTCCATAGCCCGAAAAGACCTGTCAAAGAAATATGGTGTGACAATGGTACTAACTTTATCAGTGCAGCTAAAGAACTGCAACAAGCAGGAGCAGAAAAGAGCCAGGAACGTAATCAGTCTTTACCTTCTGAAAGGTAATATTGACTGGAAATTCAACCCTAGATCAGCAAGCCATATCGTTGGCGTTTGGGAACGTCTGACCAGGTTCGTTTTCCTCTTCTCAGCGAGTTTGGTGAACGTTTGAATGATGAGTCGTATCGAACAATATTGTACGAAGTTGAAGCCATTGCAAACTCCCGACACTTCACAACTGTATCTGACAGTACTGACGATCTCAATCCTTAAACGCCTAATCATCTACTGATGATGAAGTCAAATGTGTCTATATTACCTCCAGGCAATCCCAATACCTGACATTTTAGGATCACGAAGCCCTGGCCACAATGTCTGACCTTAATGATTGTGTGTCAACTTGTCCAAACAGCGTTGTTCACGTTGGTAAACGTTGATATTGCTAACGGCAGCATAAACGTCTCTTCATTCATTTACAGCCATCCATTCATTTAAACATTCATTCCGTCTTTCGGAATGCATATACGTTGAACACCTCCCCCCCCCCCCCCCCCCCCCACACACACACACACACACCCAAATAGCGATGCTTTGCCTGCCTGGATGTGCTAGCGAGCAGTGTTGGGAACACAATGTAATGCTAAACAAAGGGAGTGGATTGCCCTAGGCCGTCACACTTTACATTGATATAGATCACGTTTCAACACAACTCGAAGCCAGTTACTCTGCACACAGAACAAATGGACTGGGCATTAACAATATTCAATACATAGAGCCTTAGGCAGCTTCACATCGCGTTGTGTTATGTACATCAATTGTCCTCAATTCATCCATATAGTTCCTACACCTTGACATATCCCTTTCACTATCTGTGTGTTCACATGTGTCAACACACAATCATATAACTGATGATATGCAGATAAATGTTGCAAGGAGGTCCTGTGTGCGGTATCACAAAGTGCGTTCAAATGACAAGACGTTCGATGCATCCCATAGAATTGTTTAAATATTCCCAATTATGTTCAGGGTATAGTACATGGACATTGAAGTGTGGGTGTTTGTTTAATGCCAATGCCATGGCGTAGGAGCTGGGTGGTAATGCACGTCATATTATTACCGACTGTGTGGTTTACTCATAAACATCTCAACTGTGAGTGAGTGAGTGAGTACGGCTTTACGCCGCTTTTAGCAATATTCCAGCAATATTACGGCGGGGGACACCAGAAATTGGCTTCATACATTGTACCCGTGTCGGGAATCGAACCCGGGTCTTCGGCGTGACCACTAGGCTACCCGACCGCCCCCTTATCACGTGTGATAACATCATTGACACGGCGGTATTTATCAGTGTGTGAGTACGGTTTTACGCCGCTTTTAGCAATATTCCAGCAATATTACGGCGGGGACACCAGAAATGGGCTTCATACATTGTACCCGTGTTGGGAATCGAACCCGGGTCTTCGGCGTGACCACTAGGCTACCCGACCGCCCCCTTATCACGTGTGATAACATCATTGACAAAGCGGTATTTATCAGTGTGTGAGTACGGTTTTACGCTACTTTTAGCAATATTCCAGCAATATCACGGCGGGGACACCAGAAATGATTTTCATACATTGTACCCATGTCGGGAATCGAGCCCTGGTCTTCGGCGTGACGAGCGAACGCTTGAACCGACAGGCTACCCGACCGCCCCTTTTCGATACATATACATGCACATTTGTACAAGACAACAAACACCATGCAAGTTCACAATAAAGCAAGGGTTCGTGTCAAAAACAGTATTTACAGGCAACATTATATATGGCAGGAGTAGTTCACAAAACTTGTGTTTATTTATCAAATATTGAAGACTCTTGTTATTATATTTCATTTAGATAATTAAGACTGTTTTTATTCTGTAAATGATGTTCATTTGAGAGCCTAGATGTTAGTCTAGTCAGGTGTCACGGAGCTGTGCTCCAATGATCAGGGGTGTCATAAAAAAAGAATAAACTTGGTCATAGGTTCACAGGTTTATTAATGACGGCTAATTGTAGAAATAATTGACAATTAAAGAAAAGGTAAAGCCTATCTGCGCTGACAGAGATCACAATTTAATTCCATCAGCGCAAATATACAACCAGTTTAGCTACACAACAGTATTACAGCGATAAAAAGGAGAGTAGCTAAAACAACACTTTGACAAGATACGGACCGCGCTAAGATGATCGTAACTCAAATACTTTAACATAGGCTTACAATAGTCGTAGCGCTAAGATCGCTTTGTGCAGGTGGGCCCTGATGTGTTGACTGCCAATTAAGTCGGCTGCGACCAATTAACACGTGAGTCAATTTACTCCACACTCTAGTGACACTCTATAATAACTACTACTACTACTACTACTACTACTACTACTACTACAACTACTACTACTACTACTACTACTACTACTACTACTACTACTACTACTACTACTACTACTGTCACTGCACCGACTGTTACTACTACTACTACTACCACCACCACCACAACCACCACAACCACCACAACCACAACAACCACTACTACTACTACCACCACCACTTCTATTACTACTACTACTACTATCACCACCACCACCACTACTACTTTCACTGCACAAACTGTTACTACTACTGCCACTACTACTACTACCACTACTACTAGTGCTACTACTACTACTGCAACAACTACTACTACTACTACTACTACTACTACCACCACCACTTCTACTACTACCACTACTGTCACTGCCCCGACTGTTACTACTACTACTACTACTACTACTACTACTACTACCACCACCACCTCTACTACTACTACTACTACTGCTTTCACTGCACCGACTGTTACTTATACTACTACTGCCACCACCATCACTACTACTGTGACTGCACCAACTGTTACTACTACTACTACCAGTACTACTACTACTACTACTTCTACTATCATCACCTACACTTCTACTACTACTACTACTACTACTACTACTACTACTACTACTACTACTGTCACTTCACCGACTGTTACTTCTTCTACTACCAGTATTACTACTGTCACTGCACCGACTGCTGCTACTACTACTACTACTACTACTACTACTACTACTACAAATGCTACTAGTTAATGTCTAGAGCTACGACTACCACTGCTACAACTAACAATACCACGACTGTATATAGACAGTCAACTTGTCAGGTCAGTAGTCTTACGCAATGTCATGCACAGGACGATGAAGGACAGCCAGTATTCGTTATACTCAGGTTGCTTCTGTATTAAAATAAGCCCTTGCGAAATAAAGTAGTCAGATTGCACTTTTATCCGCCACATTTGAAAGCGTGACAATTCACAAGCACACTGATATACTCTACTTTGTCAACACACATAATCATGGTGACACGACCTGACTGAAACGAAACCTTACTCTGACTCTGATGTCTTCAATTACACTTCAACAGCCCCTCAATGAATTGCAGTAAGAACGCACATCGATATTCCTGAACACTGTGAGCATACATAAAGACATGTGTATTGGCACTGAAATTAATTCAAAGGGTCGCTCCAATGACGGACTATCTAAATACACAAACCCACTTGAATGTGTAGTTTATATGAATATTGTAATACAAATAAACTGTTAATGTATATCAATGTATTCGCTCATGTAGGCCATGTAATACACATCTAATTTGGTTGAACCCTGATATATTTACCCTTTGCTTTGAGACAACCCCCTCTCAATCCGGATTAAGCAAGACACCTGCAAGACTGATTTCGATAGAAGTGGCAAGACATCCCAGCTGGGGTTTAGGGAAAAATCAGAACAAAACCAATTTTCCAGATGTCTGCTCATCCATTCGACTTAAAACCACAAGTGCGTGAGTACGTGGTTTTACGCCGCTTTAAGCAACGGCGGGGGACACCAGAAATGTGTTTCACACATTGTACCCATGTCGGGAATCGAACCCGGGTTTTCGGCTTGACGAGCGAGCGCTTTAACCACTAGGCTACCCGACCGCCCCTAAAAAACACAAGTACAGAAGTACATTTATTTTCAAAGTCCTGATTGATTCCCTTCATTCAGCAATTTCTGACCGGTTGAACGGACGACAGTCGATTCTATATGTAATTGTATTTAGATTTACCAAGGCCTTAAACATTAAATTTTATATGAAACAACCTGTAACCAAAAAACGTCACCAAAGTATTACTTGGCTGATAACAGTCGCCCAAACACTGCATACTTTAAGAGGAAGTAAATTAACATAGCACAGATTTTCAAGCAGATATTACAAATTTCATTTCAGATAGATCCGAGATACGTGTAGATCTTTCAGAACTAATTTATACACTTAATTTAAAGCGACAAAACTCTTTCCATATTCATAATAAATCTCTGCCAAACACATCGTTCATTTACGATTCCGACTATATCATGAACATGTGTTCATGAATCACTATCAAATAGAGATTATACCAGGTGTTCGCGAAAAAGTGAGCGCATGTACCTGTCACACATTGCCATTACACATTTATGAGAGACGGGAAACATCAAGGAATAAAAATAACAATGATTGTTACTGATTATTTAAAGGGTGGACAAACAATGGTTGATACTGGTACTTTAGCTAAATACATGAAAACATGGCAAAAAGCGAACAGGGCTCACTAATACCCCCGACTTTGACTCCAACATAGTTCTCAGTTCAGAACATGAAAAAAACCCAATATTTTCTTCAGAAAATACATTTATCAGAATCAAACTTTGAACTGCACCTCTCCTATTGGTATAGAAACTATACCTCCAATTGGAATAGAAGAAATAGGTTTCACATTTTGAAGACAAAAAGTTCAAAATATGAAAAAAATAATACTTTCTCAGAAAATACACATATCAACATCAAACTTTGCACTGCACCTCTCCTATTAGAATAGAAAGTGTTTCTTAAATTTTTAAAGAAGCCACGTTTAAGGTCGCAAGTTTATCGGTCGCACAAATGTGGAAGTAAAAAAAAACGTAATCAAAATGTACAAATTCATATTTTCTCAGACAATCCACATATTTAAATCAAACTTAGCACTGCAACTCTTCTGTAAGTATGGAAACCGTTCGCTCAATAAGTATTACAGTGCATATATTTCATTATACTTTTTATATTTTTCACAAATAAACTTAAATCCAACCGCCTTTTGGTGTCTCACTTCCAAGTGAAACAAACTCTTTAAGCACCCTTTTTCCGCGTATATCCTAATATTTCACCACGGATACTTTCAAAATCGTAGACCTAGCGTGATGTGAAATGTTTGACAGTGTAAGGGCAAATTGTAGGCGAACGCTAAAAACTCCCTCATCACACAACCTTTCCTCAATCCATATTATGTATGTTCATGTTAACCGGGTTCCACTTCACAGAAATGCTTGTTCATTACTTCAAATTGTCAG